GTATCCCCGCCTCCCGTTCCCCACAGAGGCTTAGTTTTAAAAACTCAGTCACCCTAACAGGATGCAGTTGGGGAGTTCCAGTCCTTGAACAGCAATTTGGACTCTCCAAATAGGTAGCGTTGACTTTTTTCTTATTTTTGTGTTTAGCACATAGTGTTAGGATTCTTTAAAAATTCACTGGATAAAGATTCACGCCTAATTGAAGCGCGGAACAGGTACTCGGAGCGCGGCTGCCTTCCGCGACCACCTCAGTTGAGGCACCACTGGGAGGCTCGTCAGTGGCTGCTGGCGAGCTCTGAGGGCAGGTAGGCAGGTAGAGACCTCTCTGAGTTTGCTGCCGGTGTTCTAAATTTACTGAGCTCTCAGAACTGCCGGCAGCTCCCCGGTGCGCTCCGTAGCTTGCGGTGGCCATTTTGGCCAGAAAAAAAAAGTGGCGCGCTTTATTCTCAAACTGTTTGCTTTGCCGCCACCTGGTTTCCACTGCAGATCGCCGCTGGGAGGGCTTCTTAATTTGGGATCTTGCTCTGGATCTCCAGGCAGGTCTCCCCCTCCCCAGGAAGACTATGGAGAGCGGCTGCAAGGAATTTGGCTTTCTCGGGCCATTCCTTGCTTTATCACTGCGCAGATCTGAAGCACCTTGGGACTTCCATTTTGGCGCCAAAATATTGCTGACTGTTACTGATCCTGGCAAGGCCCCGTTTTTCTCAGAACTTGGACTGAATTAAAGAGGCATACTTCCAGAACTATTACATTATTGGGATTATCACATCTAAAGCTCTGACTGAGAAAGAAGTGTGCCATAGCCAACAGGAACGTGTCTGAAGCCAGGGATTGAGCTGAACCTCCTGCTAACAAAACGCAGCAGGCCAAACCCTGCTGCTAAGGGGGACAGTGCAGGCTGCCCTTCAAAAGGGAAACAGCCCCAAGCCAAGGAAGTCTCAAAAGCTACAGAAAGGTTGGCTGAAAGGGGACAGAAGGCCCTGGAGAGAGAGTTTCCAAAGGCAGTTAGTACCCAGGCACAAACTCTACAAGCCAGGAAACCACCTCCACCACCATCTACAGACATTCCCTTAGTGGAGACACCACAGGAGGGCTCTCCATCTCTGGCAGACGAAGGGGATTTTGGATTTTCTCCCAACCCAGGGCTTCCCCCAGGTCTCCTATTTCCTCTCTGGAGGAGGTAGACATGGAAGAGGCTTGTTCTCTAATGGGGGAGGAGGCTCCTCCCACTAGCCCTAATTCTGGGGAGGCTCCTGAGCTATCCCAAGCAATGCAGGAGGTGGTGCAATGGGCAATATCACAGGGGATTGCTAATGGCATCCAACAACTGGATTTATCCGTGCCCCTCCTGAGCAAAGCCAGAGGGCAGAACACTGGAATTCTCCCGCAACCCTCTGGGGCCTCCCCTCCTGCTTCCTCAGCGGTCAGCGAGGTGTCTGATGAGGAGGAGGGTTGACAGGATGCCCCTGATCTGTTGGAGGATGAGAATCTGCCCCCAACGCCCCCGCATTCTCTGGCTTATTTAAGCCTACAATGTTCAAGGCCATTCTGACCAAGGCTAGGGCTTCGTCCGTTCAAATTGGGACTTCCCACACAATCTGATAAGAATACCACTGATCAGGGTAACAAGGAGACTATAGGACCGGGGGATCCAGGCGCAGGCCTCTTTAAGGAAATCACTCCTCAGGAGTTGGTTCCAGCGCCACAGCTGTTCCTGGATATCATCCAGTGACAATGGGTTCAACCCAGGTCATTAGCCAATCCTAGTGGGATGGATGAGAAGCTCTACTCTGTAGAGACCGCCATGAAGGAGCTCTTAAAGCTTCCACAAGTGGATGATCCCATAGTGGCGCTGACCTCCAACTCGGCCCTCCCAGCTGACCTGCTAGTGGGTCTGAAAGCGGAAGACAAAAAGATGGAGAAGGTCCATCATAAAACTCACATGGC